AGGCTGGGGCCGCGAGCACCAGTGTGCTAGGATGACACATTTTTTTAAAAAAAGCTCCCGCTGCATTCTAGTCTCTGGCCCCACACGCAGGATGAAGTAGACACAAGACTGCAACCACAAAGGCCACTAAAGGTGAGGGGGAGCCAGCGTCACCCTGGGGGTTGCTCTTCCTGTCATCCGCACCAGGCCCCGTCTGGCCTCACTGCTGCACCCCTGTTCAGGGAAACTTGTGCTCCTGTTCCCTCAGCCAGTAGCTGGACAAGTTGTTGGAGCCCAAGCCTCGCTCTGCCTGTTTGTCATTCTTCCTCTCCCTGATCTGGCCTTCCCATGATGCTCATTTTAATTTAAAATGGAGCTTTTCCTCCATTTGGCTTTTCCTTCTCTCTCACCCCAATTTCTTTTCCCACTAAATACAGTGCAAGACATAGGAAGAAACCAAAGGAAGGATCCATTTCTGTGGCAAGTGCCATGGGCACTGGAGGTCAAGCTGGATGCAAATGACCTTTCTAAAGCAAACGGGCCTCCAGGGGCACCTGGAGAAACAGGACCCCAGAGCCACATGCAGATGCCCTTGCGGCTGTAGCCTCTTACCCTCACATGCGCCCAGAGCTGACAAGAGAGTGCATTTCAGTGCTTGGGTCCAAGGGCCCAGGCCCACACTACGTGAAGCTCACTTTGGGAATACCTTGCCTTTGGCTCAGGCTTGCACTTGGCCTTAGTGGGCAACACCTTCAGTGTGGAGGGAGGTGGTCAGCTGAGCAACGCTCAGGCTCTGAAAGTGTGTGCTCCTTGACTGAGGGTCAGGCTCCCTCTGTCCCAGCCTGTGGAGAGCTATGGACTCTTGGTGCAGCCCACGCAGCAAGGGAGCTTGCTCATGTCTTGTCCATTCTGGTTCATTTCCAAAACCTCCCTGTCCAGGAAGCTAATAACAATAGATCGTGCCTGCACCCAGAATCATGGGCTCCAAGCATCGCCTTTAGTGATCTAAATGATCGACCTATTGGCTGGAGAAATGGGGTTCTCTCATGTTTCCTTAGCACCTTAGCCATCGGAGCACCCAGCATGGCCCCAGGGGCCAAATTCTGCTTCCCATCTTTGAGCTAACCAGGTGAGACTTTGAGAAATCACCTGCCAGGCAGCAGTGTGCATTTCTCTCCTGCCTCCTTTGCTAGCTGGCTTTAAGGATCACAGATTTGCTTCAAATACTAAAGTGTGCCACACACCGGTCACATTTTTAATTTCTTTCTAACCCTTCATTCTTTGGGCCTCATCAGCATTAGGAATGTGGGAGAGGAGACAATTTTCAGCCTGAATTTTTGAATGAAAGTTAGAGCTGTGCTCCAGGCAGTGTCATCCTTGGGCTCAGAGGGTTAGTGATGTTCCAGGACCCGTCAGCACTGGGACTTTGTCTGGAGGAGCCCAGCGTGGCTACTGTTTCCCTGGCCTGGCACCAGCCCTGCACTGAGTGGAGTCTGTTCACAGCCTCAGAATAGCACAGCGAGGTCGTGATGCACCTGACACAGCTGGGACCCGGAGTCCCCGGGGAGCCTCTCTGGCTCACTGCACAAACGTAAGCTCTAATTTCCCTGCATAGTGTTGGTTTTATTAAGAAGTGAAAGCTTGTGGGCCCAGCTGACACCTCTCTCCCTCAGAGTCTCCTTCGTCAACATTTCACCGGCTTCTGCCCAAGGGTTGCTGACCACAAGCCTCCTTGAGGCCGCTGACCGGAAGCCCAAGGGCCCTGCACCCCGTGGTGACTCTCCGTCCCCCACTTAACTCCAATGTAGGTTTCTGCTCCCCCTTGCTTTAGTACCAAACTAGAGTGAGACACCTGGGCCCTGGGAGCCTCTCTCCTTCCCCTGGCTTGGCCTCTCTTGCTCTTGGTCTTTGCCACTGCTGTCTGGCCTCCCTCTGGCCAAGCCCCAGGGAGCCTACTGTTTTTCTGTGCTATAGCAGGCTACCTAGGACTAGGTGGTTTCTAGAAGATGAAAGTTGTCTGGCTCGCAGGTCTGGAAGCTGGGAGGCCAAGAACGCCATGCTGGGCTCCACTCCACTCTGAGGCTCTTCCTGCTGGGCCAGGACGTGAGGAATCACACAGTGAGTCTGCAAGCTTCCGGTTCGGCTCTCTGCCTCTCCTTGTGAGGCCACTGTGCCATTCAGGGCTCTGCCCTCCTGACTTTGTCTGACCCTGATTACCTCCCAAGGGCCCCACCCCCAAATACCATGAGCATAGCCTCCAGGATTAAGTTTCCGAAGCAGGAACTTCTGAGGAATACAGTCAAGCCATGGCAGGCACACACAACTGGCTAGAAGCTGCCAGAACCCAGAGTCAGAATTCTGTATCTCTTTGCCCTAAACATGGGCAGGTGTGTGAATCCCCCAGACAATGGACTGAGCTCAGTGCTGCTGGAGCTAAGTCAGAGAAGATGTCAGGGCGCTGCTACGTCTACCTGGGCCCCTGGCACACTCACACAGCAGCCTGAAGCTGCCCTGGGACACTCCACAGGTCCTGCAGATGCCATGCTAGGAGGAAGTCCACGCCAGCCCCTTAGGTGGGGAGACATGAAGAAGCCGCAAGCCTGCATGAGGGAGAATGGTCCACTCACCCCTCGGCTACAGCCTCAGTTAGTGGTCAGGGGCCCTGTGTCAGGAGGACCAACTCAGTCCCTCCCACCTCTGCTTCACAGGACCCATGGGAGGCGGTTGAAGGATGAACCTCCCAGCCCAGCCCTTCCCAGCCCTGGCTCCCAGGAGCTGAGAGATGCCCAGCAGGGGATTCTTCTTCTGGTGCTTTGCTCTGAACCAGTAGTGGAGCCAAACAGCCTCTCAAACATTCTTTTCAAGAAGAAGCTTCTAATTTTTCTACCATCTACAAGGCCAGGGCAATGAGTCAGAGAACTTCTGGTTTCCTCTACATTATTCAGGACCTTTGGTAGAAATACAGAGTGAATAAGATTGAAGTCAGGGGAAAGCATGATCTCAGATGCTGGGAATCACTCACAGAGCAGACAGTGGGTAAGGAGACTCTTGGGAGTGAACTCTGCTCAGAACCGCCAGTCTCCCTGTCCCGGTGTCCCACTCTGCTTGGCTTTCTCTGCAGGCGGGTGCTCCTGGCCTGGTTGGGAAGCTCTTCCGTTGCCCATGTCACACGCTTAGCTTAGCAACACCAGCAGAAGGGACAGAGGCTAGAAGAAGCCTCCCAACAAGAGTCCTGGTCCCCCTTTGCCTGGGTGACCTAGGAACCACCGGGACTGCCCCAAGAGGTTGGTGGGACACTCAGGATAACAACAAACATGCTATGTCGGGGAAGGGGAGACACACCTCATTTCTACACATCTCATTTCCAGCCTTGGGCTGAGCAGGCCCTGTGCGGTCCCGACCCTGCAGAGCTGGGGGATTGGGAAGGTTTCTCAGTCTTGGACATTGCCCGGGATCCTGTCTTTCTCTGCCCACCCTGTCCCCTCATGCTGCTCACCCCATCTGGAAGGAACAGAGCCCAGATCAGAGGCTCCAGGGCCCACAGCATGCCTCCCACTCCAGGCCAGCAAGGAGCTCCAGGCCCCAGAGAGAGGAGTCTGGCTTTGTGGGCCAGCCCTTCCTGATCCTGCTCTGCCCCAGCACAGGGGCTGCATTTGTGTTGTTGGGAAACCTCACACCAAGGATCCTTCTGTCAGGACTTCATGCAGGTCCATCTGGATTTGGCCTTCCTTGGCATTCTTGGTAACAAGCTGTGCTTCTGGCGATGAAGCATTTGGTGGATCCAACCCAGCACATCCTTGAACTTCTGGCTTCCCCTGGTTCCTTTGCATTCTCTTTGCACACTCACCAGAGCTCCTCTCTGATCACGGCTGGATGTGCATTCCTCGGATTCTCTTCTCTGTGGGCCCCACACTGCCCCAGACTCAGCAGGGCCCAGTCTGCCTCTCAAGTGCATCCTCTAATCACTCTGATGCCCAGAGCCAACCCCAAGGCCAAAGCCATGTCTCCTAGGGCTTCTGCTACAGGAGCATCCCATGCCCCCTTCTGGTACACAGGAGAGATCAGATGCAGGGACAAATGATCCAAATCTCGGGAGCTCTCAGAACCGAACTTGATTCTTCCTCTTGCTGCACAAGTCAGTGGAGGTCTGGGCCCATGATGTCCAGCTAGAAAAAGTGCAGGCCAAACGCTCCTTCCTGAGCCTGCAGAAGCAAAATCACCAAAGCAAAACGGTGCCAGTAAGACCCGAGTTTTGGCTGCTTGGAGCTGTGACCCTTTCAGACAGACTTCTTTTTGAATCTTTTTTTTTTTTTTTTTTTTTTTTTTTTTTTTTTTTTTTTTTGTACTGGGGATCGAACTCGGGTCCTTGCGCTTGCGCAGCAGGCGGCGAAACCACTGAGCTAAATCCCCGGCCCCAAGACAGACTTCTTTCTGTCTCAAGGAAAAAGTGTTTTTGTGAACTTGATTAAATAGATCAACAAAAATAGTACTCAAGCGACCTTATTGCCTATATTTATATCTAGAAAGATCCAAGTGCACGGTAAAGTAAAACAAGTTGCTTTTCTGTAATGAAAAAAGAAAGCAAGAAGAAAGCAAAGGGAAGGCAAGGTTCCAACCTGCACAGGTCCCTCTGCCTCTGTGCACATCAGCAAAGAGCGCTGTCTTTTGCATGGCTTTTACCTGCTGGGCTTAGCAGGTCAGAGTGTCACTGTGGGGCCCTGGAACTGGGCACCAGGCAGAGATTCCAGCTCTTCTGAACTCTAACAGTGGGACACGAGTGACAATGTTAGCCATTCCCTTACCTGTGAGACCAGAGGAGAACAGCATCAACCCCAGAGTGCTGATGGGAGAGCTAAATAAATTACTCTATGTTCCTGGCACATGGAACACACTCCGTGAATGGCGCTACTTACTGTTATTTAAATATTAATTATTTAAGTAAGATTATTCAAGTTGTTCATTATTTATTATTCAAGTACTCACTATTAATTATTGTTACTTTAAAAGATTGATAAGAGGAGAGGTAATAACTATTTTTTAAATACATGACTGTAGTTTTTGAACTATTTCCCTGAATACAATTTGCTTTTATAACTTTAAAAAGTCATTAAACGGGAGTGGGAGCAACTGCATGAGGCATGTGAATGCTTTCTGGGAACAGCTGTGTCTCCGGGCAGACAGATAAATCTGGGGTGGCCTTTGATGTCTCTCTCAAAACGGAGCATTAAGATGAGTCACAGCCTCTCCCGTAGCTTTTGATCATTCCTAAACTGGAATCTGTATCATTCCTGCAAAAAAAAAAAAAAATGCTCAGCAATAACATGCTCACTTCCTGGCGCAGCAATTAGGAGCCCAAGTAAATGAAAGTCTTCATTTCCCACACGCTTGGCTCTGGGATGCACGCCCTGAGACTCGGTTCTCAATCCAGGACGGCGTGGCCATTAGGGTGGCTTTGGGAGGCAGGGCCCTGAACTCACCGCCGTGTGTTCTTGGCGATTCCTTCCTCCCCTGCTGCTGTGGGGATGCAAGGACAAGATGCGGGCTTGGGGCTCTGCAGAGCACTGGGCACAGAACTCGCTCAGGAGCCAGGTGCAGATGAAGATGAAGATGATGATGTCTGACCTGCACGATTGGAACATCACGCAAAAAGTAGTAAAGTTGGCTCAATAATGAAACTTCCATGACTGAGAACACGTTAAGTAAGAGGAGAATATAGGGGAAAGAAAAAAAGGAGAATAGAAGGAAAAGGCAAATACAGTTCTATTTGCCAGTACTGGGAACTGAACCCAGGGCCTTCCCACTGAGCTACATATCTAGCCTTTTTCCTTTTCTTTCTTTTTCTTTCTCCTATTTTGAGACAAATTCTCACTAAGTTGCACAGTTGTCCAGGCTGAGTTTAACCTTGCAATCCTCCTGCTTCAGCCTCCCAGAGTGCTGGGATTACAGGTGTGCACTACCACACCCAGCTGGCAAATATAATATTTAGAAAGACCTTTAATGAATCACTTTTGTATGTCAATCCCAATGGAATGTGTGTAAAAGCCTTTATCAGTAACAGAAGAAAACCACAGGTGGCTGACAGACACATCAGAGAAATACCTCTCTGGTCTCCAGAGGCCTTTCCTCCAGCTACTGACCTATTTGTGCCCCTTCCTGGCCCTGCCCTTGCCGAAGTGGACCACTCAGATTGGTGCAGAGCAGAAATCTGGGGTGCTCAGCACACCTCCCCTCTTTACCCTTTGGGAACCAGATGCCTGATGGCCTCCCAGGCAGTGCCCACCCTGGGGAGTCTGTCCCAGTCACCTATTGGGGTGTCTGCACACCCAGCACCATGTGGATCGGGAAGTATGCTCCTGAGCTCCTGATTCTGCTCAGGGGCTCACCTGGCTCTCATGAGAGGCGACATCCACCTCCTTCATCTTTACTGAAAACCACAGAATGTTGCAGCCCTATCTGTTGCTCTTTAGTTCTTTCTGGAAATGTTGGTTTGAGCAACAAAGAAAAGAACCGCTAGTCATCGGACCTCCTGTGAGAGTGCACTCACTCATGCAGAAGATGCTCATGTGGATGGGCAATCAAACAAATGCACATTAAAAGTAAAAAGTGACCGCCCATGCCCCCTGCCCGCTGTTTAGGAGCAGCAGTGGGAGAAATGGGCACAGTGGTTGCTTGTCCACGAGGCAGCCGTAACCATCAGCAGCTTTGAGCCTGTTGGCATCCTTTGACCTCATCCTGTCCCCTCCAGGACTCCATCCCAACCACCAAAACTCACAAGCGAGCTTTTCCTAGTACTCTTGTTCACAGTAGTAAGCTTAAAACCAGCACATGTCCGAAAAGGGAAATGGCCATATAGACGGTAGCCCAGGCCCAGGATGTAGGACATTCGTCCTTCAGCGAGTCATCCTCCCTCTGTTGGACATTTTGATGGGATCAGCACTGAGGGTCACTGAGGCAGGATTTGGATATAGCTCAGTGGTAGCGTCTCCTTGGGTTCAATCCCCAGTAGAATAAATAAATACATAAATAAATGTCTGTGAAAGATTTAATAATATTCCTGTAATGTGACATGAAACAACCAAAGAGAAAATAACATCATTAGCAGAGTAGAAATCTAACACCATATTTAAGATTAGGTGGTTCTTTATTTTTTATTTATTTATTTTTTTGGTACCGGGGATCGAACTCGGGTCCTTGTGCTTGTGCAGCAGGTATATTTAAGATTAGGAAGGAGATGCATACAAACCCCACTGGGGTTTATATCTTAAAGTTGGGATTGAGAGTAATTTTTATTTTTGCATCTTTCTTTTTCTATATTCTGCATATTATCTTCAAGGTGAGCATCCTATTGTGATAATGAGAAAAAGACTGAAATGAACACAATATTAATATTAAGACTGTATCCATAAAGTCCAGGAAAACACAGAAGGTTGAGCAGCTGGCCCAGGCTGGTTGCAGGCACCTGCTGGAAGGAGGACACTGGGGCACTAAAGTGATGCCTTGCCGGACAAGGACAGAGGAAAGCGTGGCAGAGGACTGGCAGCAGAAGCACGCAGGCACCGGCCGGGATGCTGGGGAGTCATCCTCTTACCCCTTCAGGGAAGCACCCCGCAGTGCTGTCGTTCAACTTTGCTCTACTTACGACCACCCTCCAGTGTGGCCTGGGTCCCCACCCCGGCTGCCACATGCACTGGGGTCCACCCTGATCCTGGGCAGCTCCCACCTCCTCCTGGAGCCTGAGACCCAAGTTCCCAGGGTGATCAGAAGAGGGCGCCAGGGTGCAGCTCCCTGCACACCCTGACCGCAGGGTTCCTGCAAGGATCCCGCAGCAGCTGCGCGCCTGGTTTGCAAGCTGAGGAGAGAGTCCAGGTGTCAGGGAGTGGAGGTTTTCTCCACTGTTCCCTGCCCTCCCAAACTCACCTTGCAGAGCTGTTTGGCATCTGCCTGCTGCGAGGACCATGCTGCATCCTTCTCCTGGCCCACCCTGGCCCAGGCCCCTGGACTCTGCTCCTGATTCAGTGTGACCCACTGGCCGGGCTCTGTGTGGCCACAGCCGAGGAGGGAGGACCTGGGCCCTGGGCCTCAGGACTCTGGATGTGGTCACCAGGGCCTCCCTCACCACCCAGCACCAGAGCATTCCTTGGCTCAGGAGAGGGGTCCCTGTCTCTCGTCTCCCTGCCTATCTACACCCCAGTTTGCACACTGCACACCCCCAGGCAGGGCATGCAGCTCATATTTCCACCTGGAAGGATCCAGGCCAGGCCTGAGCCATTGTAAACAGCAGCCCTTCTACAGTGCAGCCGTCCGCTGTGCTGTGGCCCGGCTCTGAGGGCTCAGAGCTCCTGGAGTCCCGCTGCCTTTGGCTGTAAGTCAGAGGCTGCACTGTGTGACACACAGTGTTTCTCTACTTGGTCCCAGAACTGCTGTGTCTCCCCTGCAGGCAGAGTTGACCCCACATCAGCGACACAGGAGCCTCCCGCAGTGTGGACAGAGTCGTGTGAAGGTAGCCGATGTCATGCTACTCTGGGGCCCGACATACTGTGAGATATCATTTTTGCCCCTTTGAAGTGAAGACAAACTTTCCACAGAGAAAACCACATCTGTAGATAAAGCTCAGAGCAGCCGCAAGAATCACCATGGTGACAGCCTGATTTGGAGCCGTAAATAAGAGGTGTGTTTACTTTGAAACTAAAGGAAGAAAGCTGCAGTGACAGCAGCATAGAGGCCACAACAACTGTCTCCTCTGGGCTCCTCTGGAAAGAAAATTCAGATAATGAACCATTTCCCAAGGTTCACTTCTATGCAAATCCACGGTTCTTTTCTGACATTATGATGTGAAAGATACTCAGTGAGGAAGTGAATCATTCAGAATTTTCCATATCATTTTTTTTATTTTGAGAAAATTGTAGATTGATCTGTGGTTGCAAGAAATAATATAGAAATTCTATGAATATTTTACCCCGTGTCCCCAATAGTAATATTTTGTAAGCTGTAGTCTAATATCACACCCAAGAAACTGACATTGGTACTAGGGTTTGTTTTTTGTCTATTTCTTTGCTTTTCTTTCTGAGATGGTCTCACTATGTAGTCCAGGCTGGCCTAGAACTCCAGGTGATCCTCCTGCCTCAGCCTCCCATGTGCTGGGATTACAGGCATGTGTCACCATGCCCAATTGTGCTTCAGTTTTTGAGGAACTCTTAAAGATATATACTGTTGGGCCAGGGACTTAGCTCAGTGGCACCACGCAAGGTCCTGAGTTTCACCCCAGTATCAAAAAAGAAAAAAAAAAAAAAGATATATACTGTCATGTTTGAAAATATGAAAATGTGATACTTCCATATTTTGAAAAATAAATAAGAAAGTTAAACAGGGAAAAAATACCTGTGTTCATCCTAGCAAGGAGTTTATAATGAGCATGTTCACTAAAAACATTTAGTGGTCCTTAGAAATACTGTGATGGCCTATAGAATCATAATCATTAGAAAATTACCCTAAGACAGTCATATCTAAGATATTTACAAGGCAACGCTGGATAGATTTACTAAGGTTGATGAGGTTGCTTTCAGGAACTGTAGTTGACTGTGGCTTTTCTAATGCCTTTCACTGTTACCTCTTGCGGCCTGGAACTCAGGCTCTGTCCAGTATTACAGTCCAAATTTCTTGTGTCTTTTCATCAATACATTCATACGATAGATATTTATATATAACTATATATACAGCAATTATTTTTCTAGCTGTTAAGAAAACAAGAGGGAGCCAGACGCCCCTTTGGGGAGCTGGTGTTCTAAGCCGACCCTCCTAGTTCATTTCAGCACAGCTGCCCTGGTCAGGTGGGATTCCTGCATGGCCCAGCAGGTCCAGAGGAGCTTTAGGGGGAGTCGTCTTCCCTCCCGGCCCTTCCAACACGCCTCTGATCACTTCCGGTTCGGGCTCAAAATCCTTCCGGTGTTTCTCTTCCTCCCGCTCTGCCTCTGCCCAGGAGCAGCTCTGAGCTCCTTGCAGTCACTGAGGCCCAGCCCTACCTTCTCCCCTGAGCTCCCTCCACCTCCTCCCCAGTCACACGGCTGCCGGGGGCTTCCTGTCTTTGCACGTGGGCCCTGCACCTGATGCTCCGTGCGTTCTCCCGTTTTTCTGCGTGCAGATGTCCTGCTCACGAACCTTTTCATCCAAGCACGACCTGCTCCTCTGCTGAATGAAAGAGGAAATTCCACTTATGGGGGACTTTATTTACTTGGAGATTGCCAAGCAGCCAGGTGCTCGTCAATCGGATTCATGGCTGGCACGCTCCTTATCACAAGGGATATGTTTGTTTCAGCCTGGTTTCCACCTAATGCGTGGACGCTGTCCAAAGCAGCAGTGACCCCTTCCCGGAGGTGCATTGCATGTACTTGGCATTGCCTGTTTCATTCGTTTTTTAAAATTGTTTATTTTTATTAGTAATTATTACATTCATCGTGGGGAGTGGATACATGTATATAACACATCTTTTTTTTTTTTTGTACCAGGGATCGATCTCGGATCCTTGCGCTTGCGCAGCAGGCGGTGGAACCACTGAACTAAATCCCCGGCCCTATATATAACACATCTTAATTCTTTCATCCCCTTCCCTCTTGTGAAAGATCTATTTCCCTGTTTCTTATTATCTTTATTTCATTTTCCTCTTTATGTTTTGGATTTCTCATATAAGAGAAACCATGTGATATTTCAGCCTGTGCATCTTGCATCTATTTTATTTCACCTAACATTATGGTCTCCAGGTGCATCCATTTCCCTACAAATGACTCAAGTTTATCCTTCTTTATTGCAGAGTAGTACTCCATTATATATAAATGCCACGTTTTCTTTATCCATTCCACTGTTGATGGACACACAGGCAGTTTCCAAGATTTAGCTACTGTGAGTTGTGCTGCTATAAGCTCGTGTATGCATGGATCCCTGCAATATGATGTCTTTAACTCTTTCTGGAAGATACCTAGCTAGGTCAAATGGACTCTCTAGTTGTGGTTTTTTGAGGAGTCTCCACACTGATTTCCATGGTAGTTGTACTAGTTTACCTTCCCACTGTCAGTGAAGAAAGGTCTTTCATTTCTGAAGCTTCACCAGGATTTATTATTTGATTTGTTCATGACAGCCATTCTTTCTGAATTAGATGGAATCTCACTGTTGTTTTAATTTGTATTTCACTAATGGCCAGTCATGTTTAATATTTTTTATGTATTTATTGCATTTTATTAATTTTTTCTGAAATAAGTCATAAAATGTTTGAAAATTCAAAAAGTATAAAGGAGAGACTAACAAATAATCAAAGGGTAACACTGCAATGTTTGAGCACATTTTCTTCATTTTTCTGATGCTTTTATTTACTTTGCATTCATTATAGGTATGCAACACAAACCTCTGAGTTTTTTTTTCCCACTTAAAGTATACTAAAATGTGTTATTGTTTCTCTGGTGTGAGAAACTGAAAGTGTAAATGAGGACCAAAATGTATAATAGATACTGTGAAACAGGAAGAAAATGTTCAAAGGAGAAGGAGGGCGAGGGAGAGGGCACAGGGGAAACGAAAGAAAAACTGAAAAAGAGGGAAAAATAGAAAGCCTATGTGATCAGGGAGGGGTGGAGGAGGTGAAGGGAGGGAAAGGGAATGGGAAAAAATAGAAACCAAGATGTAGCATGCACAGGTACAAATTCCCAATAATGAATGTGATCATAACACATACCTAAAATATACCAATTAACTTACTGAATAAAAAAAATGTGTTAAGCTTTTGACACAAACTGCTAAATTTATTTTTTAAATACTGTAAGATTTTACTTTCTTGTCACCAAATATGAATGTGTGTGGTTTAACCAGCATATCTTCATCCATTCTAGCATTAATTACTACTTCAAGAGGCAAAATGTGGTCTTCTTCTTCAACTTTTATTCATAAAATTATTTATATTTATATTGCCATTTTTTATAAGGTGTTTGCATTTTGTGTCTGAGTTGTTAAGCTTTTTCTTTGCCCACTTACAGTTCCATAATAAAATAGTCTAGCTTTTCTTATTGAGTCATATAAGATGGAGTCCCTCTGTGTAGCCCAGGCTGGCCTGAACTCACTGTGAACCTCCTGCCTCAGCCTCCTGAGAGCTAAGATGATAGATCCATGCCACTGTGCTCATCATGAACTAAACAAGACCTCCTCTCAAGATTAAAAAAAACCCATTTTTCAGGCTGGGTATGCAGTGGCTACCACAAAAGGAAAAATAAGATGACTTCACTTCAGCCTACAAATGCCCAACAGGTAAGTAACTAAAAGAGTGACAGAGCTTCAGTAAAGCTCTTGGTCTGATGCTTCCTGTCAGCTCTCCACAGAGGCACTTGGTCATTCGGGGAGCATCTCCCCGGAAGTTGGCGGAATAAGGTTTATCAGCCCTGAATTTGCCCAGCCCGTCCCCTTCCTTCAATACTGAGGACACAGGAGGAGATTCACAGAGACGCCAGCTCCGCCCAGAACCTCGGCTGCCCCGAACCTGGGGTCCCCTGGGGTTCCGGCAGAGCCTCCCTGACTCGGGTCACGGGATTCGTCTGTCAGGGGCTGAACTGCCCCTCAAGCCAGAGGATTCAAGGAGACCCGAGACCAGGAGGAGCCAGGCCCCGGTCCCCACAGCACCCCACGACACTGGTCTCTGCCTGCCCTTGAGTGGCCCAGTCTGGCCCCTTCTCCCAGTGGCCCCTCCGCCTCTCCAGCTCTGGTCCCCTCCTGGTTTTTCCTCTGTTAAGAGCCAGCCTTGACCCTCCTCAAGCTGAAGCCATTTACCATTTTCTCCTACTTTCCAATTAAAGCTTTTTCCTGTGAACTCCTACTTCAGTTTTAATTTTTTCCATCATCAGTAACAGACATGTTACTGATTCATGCTCACTGCCAAGACTGCCCTTGTTAGCAGGGCGTGATGGTTCACCCAGCACTCGGGAGGCTGAGGCAGAAGGATCACCGGGAATCAAGCCCAGCCTGGACTGCATAGCATGACCTTGTCTCAAAAAACAAAACAAAACAAACAAACAAACACACAAAAGCTACCCTTCCTGTTTTCCTAAACCCACCTCCCTCCTCCCACTCAACCAACACTGCAGCCATCTGCTCGGGTCGTTCCCATAAACTCCACCCTTCTGTGTGCCAACCCCACCACTGGGCAGACGTCTGCTTCCCTGCTTCCGCCCCTTTGCCATCTGCTCTCTGGCCGCAGTGAAGTCTTCCTGCCTCTGCCTCCTTAGCCGAGTGCTCCTACCTCCACCGACAGCTTAGGCCCTACCCATCTTCCCTGGGAGCCCTGGTGACACAGATTGTCCCAGCGCCCAGCACAATGCCTAAAGCAAAGGGCCACACGTAGCCCCGCATTCTGGTTCACATGCAAGACCTGGCGTTGCTGCAAACACTTTCACTCACTGAGCTCGCGTGAACCACGCGTTTACAAAGGAGACCCCAAGCGCTGAAGGCTTGGGCTCGACCCTCGTCGTGCTATGTGTTTAAATCACGTTTCACCCCGTCCCTGTGCTCCAGACGTCTCACCCGTTCCCTGGAGGACAAAGTCAGTGACCGCATCTTGAATAACAAGAAATCACACGCACAGGGCAGTCAGCACAGCCAGCGGCTCACCTTTGCAGATGTACAGGTCTTGGGTTCCTGGTCACAGCAGATGAGCGTGGGCGCCTCTGGCAAAGCCAGTCTCCCTTCCACCAGGCCGGGTCATGTCTGTGTGATGGGAACAGTCGTTCCTGCCCACTGTGATGACACCAAAGTCCCCAGGAAGACGCTCAAACTGCCTTTTAAAACAGCCTGCACCAGGTGAGCAGGCCGGCAGAACCTGTGTGGCAGAGACCCGGAGACCGAAACCAGAGTGGGGACATTCCTGTCCCCAAGAGCCACCCAATGGGCCCGTTGCCTGGGCCCCATCTGCCACTGCCAACAGCCAGGACCCCCTGGCTTCCCACCCACCCCTTCCTGCCCACTTTCCTTCCATGGGGCTTGGGACTTGGCCCAAAGTTCTGCTGTCCTTCATCCTGCACAGGGAGCCACTTCTGCACCTGAGCTTCCAGGGAGCCCAGCCTGCTGCACCCGCTCAGCCCAATTCCCGGACCCTGCTGTCCTCCATGACCCCAGCCTTCTGTCTCAGGCGTCCAAGACAAGAGCGCATGCTGTGTCTACAGGGGCCTCAGGGTGGGCTGGCCCACTTCACCTCCCCAAAGAAGAGTAACAAAACCCCGGCTTCAGAGTTAAACACACAGCCGGTATTTCCTGGGGAGGTGCTGTCTCCCTCTCTTTTGCTTCTACTCTGACCTGCACCCCACACCCTGGGAACCCACAGGGGAGGAGCCAGCAGGGCCTGGTACCTGCCAATCACGTGGAAGTGACCTGAAGCCACACGAGTGCTGCCCACTGGGGCTGGGGCACGCCCTGAAGGGACCCTGAAGGGGCCGAGCCCTGCCAGACCTGGCTGTCCTGGGTCTGCATTCTTTCTGGCCCCTGGACCACCAAAACACTGAGTTTCCTGGCAGCAAGAGCCCTGCCTGTTCCTGAAGGTGCATTTACCCATTCACTATTTATTAATTCAGGCCCTCACGGGGCAAGAGTGTATATAGCACCTAATTCGGGGGGCTTCTATAGACACAGAGAAATTAGCTTTGAAAGTTAAATAGAAAATTCAAACAACTAGGAGTTAGAGAAGCACACTGGGCCCTGTGCCAAGAATCCTATGAGGGAGGGTGTTTCTCACTGCAAGCCAAAGAAATGCAAATTAAAATCACATTGAAGGGACATTTTTACTTGTCCAGGATTAAAATAAAATCATAAAGCTCAAGGCTCAGTGAGATATGATAATTGAGCCTGTGCCTGCCCGCTGAGAGAGCCCGGATATCAGCACACGTGTGATGGGCAATTTAGTGATAGATTCATTTGGCTTTGGTCCTACTGGGTTTTTTCTTTCTCCTTCAAAGAAGCTCGCCAGGCTGTATTTGTTTCTCGTTATTAGGTAACAAATTCCCTCCAGCCCAGTGGCTTAAGGCGGATCCACGGCTCGCTCGCAGTTGTGTTGCCAGGCGAGGTGTGGTTGGTGTCCACCAGCCTGTGCCGCATCGGCTCCAAGGCCAAAGCCAAGCTCCAGGGTCCTGGGGAAAGCTCAGCTCTTGTGGCTGCAGGATCACCAGGCCCCGTTTCCTTCCTTGTTCCTGGGCCACTTCTGTCTCCAAAGCCAGGGTTTCATCACCTTCAGCTTTGACTCCATCTCTGGGGAGATCCCGGTGTCTTCTAAGGGCTCAACTGACTGTGTCAGACCCAGTTGTCACAAACAAATAAAATATGTTAATAAAATAAATGTGTGATGAATAAAGCAGGACGCTGAGCTCTGCCCTGACACTGCGGAGTACGTGTGCCAGAGATAACTGTACAGTGACCTTCCCACAGCTGAAACCCGTTGGGCCCAGAGCCTCCTGCCCCAGACAGGGAGCTGGGAAATGCATCACCAGGGTGATGTTTAGTGACCTGAGGGAGAGGAAATGCTGCAGCCAGGCACTATGACTCATACCTCAAATCCCAGCACTTGGGAGGCTGAGGCAGGAGGGTCATGAGTTTGAGCCCAACTTGGGTAACTTAGCTGCTTAGCAAGATTGTCTCAGAAACATTTAAAGAAGGGTTTGGGAATGTAGCTCAGTGCGAATGTCCTGTGTGCAACTCCAAGCACTGGGGAACAAAAAGGAGGAGTGGCTGAGGCTTACTCTCCTCTTGGGCTGAGTCTCGGTTTCTCCCGCTGCTCACAACTCCTGCTCTGACAAAATCAAGTCCTGCCAGTGTGGCCAGCTGCACTCAGAAGACTCCAGTCCTCTCGATCCCGAATGCCCCTGCAGCCAAACCCGAGGCTCAGCGTGCAGGAGCTGCTGCACCTCAGCATGTGGCCGAGGCTGTGACAGAGCGAAGCCTGAGGCCGGCGCCTCCTCCTCACCTCCACAGCGGCCACGCGCTCTGGTGGTGCCCGGGGTCTCCCGCCCACACCACAGCAGGTAAACCGAGGCCCTTCATCTCTGAGTACGGGAAACCGCTGCCCCGGGGTCCAGGTCTGACAGCAGCCTGTGTGCAGCGATGCTATTTATAGTTCTCTTCCTGCTTCTGCCTGGCTCTGCACACCCACACACCAGGCCACTGAGACCTGCGCGCACACATGCACACGCACACATACAAACATAGGCTCGTATCCTCTCCAGCACAAAGACATGCACTGCACATCTGTGCTCAACGCGCACACGCAGCTCCTGGGCGGTCCTGTCCCGTGCGTGTGGGCGTGCCGGGCCCCCCCGCCCCGGTCTTCTGTGGTCAGGCCGTCCACACACAGCCCTGTGACTGTTGCCCGCCAGGCCCGCAAGCGTGCAGGCTCCCTCCCCGTGCAGCCTGCTGGGGCTCAGCCTGTGTGTCCAGGTCATAAACCCCTTGTGAGCCTCCCCCTGCCTTGGCTTCTTTTGCACTCATTTTCCCTCAAATGCACTTTTCTTCCCCTCCTAGGTCCCTGCTTGTCACTGGAGCTGGAGGCATCTGAGATGGAAGGAAGTCACCCCCCGTGCTTCACCTGGATCCACCTGCACGTGGACAGGGAAGTGTATGCCACGCCGGGGGTCACAGGGAGAAGGCACGGCCCTTACCATGCATGCTTTCCTGGCCCTGACTGCCAGGGTGTGGGGCACAGTGCCAGGGAGGCGGCCCTGGAGAGAGGAACGCACCGTGGGGACCTCACCTTTCCTCCCGAGGGTTGGCAGGAAGGCCCCTCCCGCTGCCATCCTGCCCGTTCCTCTCACGTCGCAGTCCCGCACCCGGCTCAGGGAGGCAGCTGTCAGGTTTGGGCCTCTCCATTTTCTTCACTGCACCCAAGCACTGTCTGGGGAGCCAGGACAGGGGTGTGCTGGGCTCCGTGCCCTCTACCCCACCCTTCCTGCCCGCAGCAGGTGGACTGGGGGAGCCGTCCAGAGCCTGCAATCCTCACACAGCGAGAGCACTGGGTCACCAGGAGCAGTCCACTCTGCCACACCCTCATCAGGGCTACGGGGCCATGTGGCTTGGGGAGAAACTGAAAGGGAAGCATTTTGTATGGATTCGGGACACCAAGGCAGCCAGAACAGCACAACTAAAGACACTCACGAAAGAGGGTTCCAGAGATGCTTCAGAAAGTGGCAAGAACAATGAGGTAAATGTGTTTGAAGTGAGGAGAGGGATTTTGAGGGCAATTAATTGCAACAAACCTTTTACCGTGATACTTTTTTTGAAGCATTCACCATACTTTTTATCATACTTTGTATCAATGCCATATTTACTGTGATATCACACTATAATGTTGCAAGATGTTACCACTGGGGAGAATGAAGTCAAGGGCTTGCATGCAACCCCCTGCACGGTTTCTTACAACTATGTGTGAATCTGAAAAAACATTAATTTAATAAAAAGTAGCCAGGGCAAACCTCGCTGCCCGGATTCCTTTGACCCAGTGTCTCTCTCCTTTGGATTTTCTTGTCTTGTCTCCACTTGGAGATCTTGTCCTGCACTGTTTTCCTGCTGGCTAAACCTGCTGTGAGCATGGGGAGGAGGTTTCTAGAGCCAACTTATTCCTCAGCAAACATCTCCGGGGCACCTTGTGTTGCCAACTATGGTGTCGAGCCCTTGGGGTGAGCTGCTGGAAGACACAGGCATGAACCATGGAACCATGGAGCCCAGAGCAGGAGGGACAAGAAACCAGCAAGCGGGAGGGTGCCATTAATCCATATGACAGGTGCTGCCTTCACAGCGAGTCAAGGCGGGGGCTCTAAGCCGGCTCACAGGGCAGACTTCTGAGGAGAGGTGATCCCGGCTGACTCTTAAGGGAGAAGGGGATCTGCTGCGGCACCCTCAGTACCATGGGGAGCCCCTCCCTTCCCCATGTCCCTCCTGCAGTCCAGCAGGGTCTCTTAGCATTAACATCACGCGGCCCTGCGTGCTTCACTGTGACATGAGACAGTCGCGGCTGGGAATCATACAGCTGAGAACACGGCCCAGAGGGACCAGGGTGAGAACTCGCTCCTGGGAGAGAACTCGGCAGCATCGGGAGTGCTGTGAAAGGTAACAGGGAGAACCGACCTTAGTCCCTGACCTCATATAAACACCACAGGATGACGCCTGTGAGCCCGTGACCACTGCCCCAGCCAGACTCACTTCCTCCAGACACAACGCTCGGCCCAGCCCCATGCAAGCTGGGTTTTTCCATTTCAAAAGTCTTCTGAACATCTCGATGGTGCATCGCTTGTAAGATTTTGTTTGCCTACAGCAGTCTTTGGTGCAGGACTGGGAGTAAGAGTTCTGGTGTGGGCCTGTGATTGCTAATTGACATCTCTCTCCCCCTGTAATCCTATTTGAGTTTATAAAATAGAGAATTGCTGGAGGCTCAGGCACAGCTGATGGCAGACGAGCAAATCTGGCCCTGGCCATGCTTGCCCTGAGTTCAGGGAGCCGCTCACTGACCTGTGTGCATGGCTCAGTGCCACGCCTTCCTGGCAGCCAGGGCTTCTCAGCCAGGGGGACAACTGTGGCCAAGCCTTGTGCTTTGTGGCTCATAGAGTCCCCAAGTGCTGGTCTGTCACCACCCACAGCTGTACCTGCAGCATTCGCCCCTGGTCTGAAGGGCACCTTGACACATTCTCCCCACAAACAGACTCTGGAGGGGAGAGAGCAGTGTTTAATTTTATAAGCCAGTGATTTGAGCCACACCACTGCT